GTGTGTGTGTGTGTGTGTGTGTACTGGCCTTGTAATACTTTGCCTTGCCATGTCTCTTTTCTATTCTTCATTTGATCTTTCTTATAGGCCAGTTTGGTTTCTTTGGTATTCAGTAAGCCTTCATGGTATACTAGCTTCAGTGCATCTTCTTCACTCTCCTTCAGATATTCTTCCAATGCCCTTTATTCTTCTTCAACTCTCTCTCTCTAACATTCCATGCCCACCTATGCTCCTTGGTACGTAGTCTGTCAATGTCACTGCGTGGATGAAGGGTATGATTCGTTGTCATTATTTTTCTGGTCTTCTAAGGGTTTTAGTTCAGCTTGAGTCCAATCCACTATTCCAGCTGTATATCTAATGCTTGGAATTGCCAAGGTGTTAATTGCCTTGATTGTGTTTCCATCACTGAGTTTGGACTTTAAGATCTTCTCCACTTTTCTTATGTATTCACTCCTAACCTTCTTGACTTCAGTGTGTTTGATGTTGTCAGCTTGAAGGACGCCCGGATATTTGTAGTGATCTTCTTCACTCAGACTCTTGGTGTTATTTCCATAGGGCATCTTGATTCCTTCAGCTGTTGTTGTTGTTGCTGTTATTTAAACTCGTATGCCACCTGACCCTCAATGACTCTGGACAACTCACAAGAATCAAACAAAGAAATTACAATAAAACATAAAAAATAAAGAAAAAAAGATGGCAAGCACAATGAAGTGAGGGGTTTCACTCTCCCTCACTGAAGGCCTGGGTAGCCAGGTCTTCACGATTCTTCTAAACAACAGTAAAATGGGAGCCATCTGGATCTGGGTAGAACCTCATGCCAGAGGGCAGGCACTGCTACAGAGAAGGCATGCTTTGAGGTTCCTGAGAGATAACAGTGCTTAATCAAAGGAAACCAGAGTGCACAACCTGCAGGATCAAATTGGCCAGGCAGGTATTAGAGAAGGCAGGTATTCCCTCAGCAATAAACATGGATATTGACTTACATACTCAATTCTTTAATGGCATACAGAAATCTGCATTGCCTGCTATGACCAAAGGTAGGTCTTTGTGGTTCAGTATTTCCAGGAAAAAAAATCCTTGAATTTTCAGCCACTCTACCCAAAGATATACAGCTTCATTAATTCTACCTTCCCTTCTCCCCATCCTCCACCCCTGACATTGGCCAGGGGCTCATTATCAGTTCCTGTTAATGCAACTATCTCCTGTAATTGTACATACATGCATACAGGAATAAATAAATAATAAATGTTTTCAGGAATGGACTTGTTCAAGCTGAGAGCTGAAAAGTGATCAAAGGGTGACTTCTGAATAAAGGTACACAAGATTGTGACGTTTTAATGTTTTACTGTTGTACATAGCTTTAGTTAGGACAGGAAGGCCTGGCGCGATATGGTTCATGGGGTCACAAAGAGTCGGACACCACTTAATGACTGAACAACAACAAATAGCTTTAGTTTGATGTAAGACTCCTAGAAGCTTTGTAGAGGGAGATCCAAACTCAAAAGGATGAGGAATTTCCTTCTCACAAGAGCAGGAACAACCTGCCTCCTGAAATTGGGAGGGTTCCATCACTAGAGGTTTTCAAGCAAATCTTGGACAGCCATTTATCTGTGATAGCATGAGGATTCCTGCCCTAAACAGGGGGTTGGTCCAGAAGACCTCCAACTTCCCCTCCAACCCTATGATTCTAGAAGGTTAGGAGATATGGCTTACAAACCATGTAATGTAATGTACGTACAGGTGGTCCTTGGTTAACAACCATTTATTCAGTAACCGTTCGAAGTTAAGACGGCGCTGAACAAGGAGACTTATGATCAGTCCTCGAAGTTGCAGCCATTGCAGTGTCCCCATGGTCATGCAACTGCGATTCAGGCAACCAGCTCGCAATTACAACAGTCACAACACCTTGTGGTCACATGATTGCCATTTGTGACCTTCACTGCTGGCTTCCAACAAGCAAAATAAATGGGAAAGCCAGCAGGAGGCTGCAACTGGCGATCACATGACATTGCACTTAATGACTGTGCAGGATTCGCTTAACGCCCACAACTGCAACTGCCAGAACTACTGTTGTAAGTTGGTGCAGTGATGTGATGTCACGCTTTACAACCACGTCACTTAGCAAAGGAGTTTCCAGTCCCAATTATCGTCATCAACAGAGGACTACCTCTATAAATCACTAAATATTTAAGTACCTTATCCCAAATTAACCTGAATTATATGCACTTCATTTAGTAACTGCAATCTTGAAAATGCTAACACAAGTAAAGCATAATCTGAGCCATTGGCTACATTTGTGCCAAACAGCAAGCTGACTGAGAATGTTAGCTTATTATAACAAGCAGCCCTGCTGGCACATGCTTCTCCAATTGCTTCTCATAGAGCAGAAGTGATTGCAGTATCAAGGATTATAATCACAAAGTGTCTATATGTCTATGTCACAACTCAGTCTCACAGCTACTCCAGGCAGAGAAACCGATCTATGTGAGAATAGGGAATTTCTACATATTCTAGTTCAGCCTTCTCAAAACAGATATCCTCCCCAAATCTTAGGACTACAAATACCAGATTTCTCAGCAAGCACGGTGCTAGAAGCTTGCATATAAATTTGCACTGAGGTGTTTCATCTGAAAAGTGTAAAACCAGATGGTAGTAGAGGTGGTGGTTGGCTTTGCACAGAAAGCTGTGAACCTAATTCACAACAAAAGTGCTATCAAATATCTATAACAGTATTTTAATACAGCCTGAAAATATCAACTCATTAACCAATTCCCAAGAGAGATATTCTTGCCTTTGTATGAGATCAGACTTTATACAAAAAAGCATAAGGAACAGCACCAGTAACAACATAGATTCCTATAACTACAGCTTAATTGGGGGTTATTTTATTCTACATTGACACTGTTAGCCACCCAGAGGCTCTGGGAATAAGTAGCATATGAGCAAAGCAAAGCAAAAAGAAGTAAGTAAATAAACAAACAAATGATGATAGATTCCTGTAACTGCAGCTTAATTGTATCATGATGTTAGCCCTTTAAATGTGTTCTTGCTATCACACAATATAAAACAGGAAAATGTTGCAAATGCTATATCGCTGAGAATTCCTAAAATCTGTGATGAATTATTAGAATTGGGTTTAACTCCTTATGACTGCTGTAATAATATAAGACACTACATATAGAATTACAGATAGTGACTGAGCAACATATTAATCCTCCTTTACTCATGGTCTTACATTAACTGATCATAGGTGGGACTTTGCTGGCAAGCTGTGCATCTGACATTATGGCCACAGATATACCCTGTGACCTAATGTCCAAATATTCAAAACACATTTCTGCAAACCAAGAGAACTTTTATATTTCAGCCATCTGCACAAAGCCATCCTTGTTACAGACGTTTGTGATGAATATATAAATGCCAGGAGACAGGACGTGCTGATTAGCATTATGTTTGAAAAAAGGTCAAATGTCACAGAACCACTTCCATGCCAATTCAACATTTGACCATCCCTTGGCACTATTAATGTGTTGAGTGGAAAGAACAGAGGAAATTTAAGAGATACTAAGGTAGCTTCTCCAACTATGTGCTTTCTATGTGTTGGATGACAAATCTCATCATCTCCAATCCTAAAATTCAACTTCATTCTCCACCTCAAATTAATATAGATTAGGGAAACTAGAGCCCAAACTACCAGTAGCTTGGAAAAGCAACCAAGATGGTACCCATGATTATCCCTAGTGAATGAGAGATCTTAAGGATTTTAACTATCTAAAATATTATGGGGGAAAAAATGAAAGGGGGTGGGGAAGAGAGACAAACAAATAGAATCCCATGATCAGCCAATCTGGTCTAATGAAATTATCTTGAGGACAAGAAAACATTACAAAAAAGTTATCCAATAAGCTTTTCCTCAAGGAAACAGATCATTTAAACTACAATTCTACATCATTTTTGTTGGTGACATAAGGTCAAAAATACTGTTACAGACAGTCCTCTACTTACAAACAGGTTATGTTCCAAGAGGCTGTTTGTAAGTCCGCGTTGCTCATAAGTCCAACCAAGTAAAACGTAAAAATGTTTAAAAAGAGGAGGCAAGAGGCAGGGCAGCAGTGTTGGCAGAGGAGCCCTATCTTCTGCTGCCAATGCATCGCCAAGTGAGGCAGGAGAGGGGGTAGTAGTGCAGGAGAGGGGAGCAAAGGATGAGCTGGTGGGGCACGGCGTGCTCCGTTGCCAGGCGAGGCAGGAGAGGCGGCGGTGGCTCCTTGGGCAAAGGACAAGCCAGTGGGTTGCAGTGCACTCCGTTGCCAGGCAAGGTAGAAGACCTCTGTCCCCTTTCCCCTTTCCTCTGCCACCACCCCCTCTCCTGCCTCACCCAGGAACGGAGTGCACCATGTAAACTAACCCCTTCTGGGAATTCCAACTATAACACAAACCTCCAATGCAAACAGAATGTGGGAAAAACAAACTTCTCTGCAAACTAACCATTCATTCATTCATTCATTCATTCATTCATTCATTCATTCATTCATTCATAATTTAGATACCACCCATCTCATGAAAAAGTTACTCTTTCCCACCTTCTCCTGACTTCCGGTTCCAACTTCTGGGTCCTCCTTGTTCGTATCAGTGAAAGTTTGCAACATGAAAGTTTGCAAGTAGGGGTCTGTCGGTATATATATTTGGTAGCACTTTTGTTATGGATTTAGGTTCACAGCTTTCTGTGCAAAGCCAACCACCACCTCTACTACCATACGGTTTTATACTTTTCAGATCAAACACCTCAGTGCAAATTTATATGCAAGCTTCTAGCATCATGCTTGCTGAGAAATCTGGTATTTGTAGTCATAAGACTCTGGGAGGATATCTGTTTTGAGAAGGTTGAACTCCCTATTCTCACATAGATAGGTTTCTCTGCCTGGAATAGCTGTGAGACAGGCAAAAGTGTCAGTGCAATAAACAAACATTGAAGAAATTATTAAAGGTGGGAAAGTTCACATTTATATGAACATATAGTTTAAAAACAGATAATGTTCTGCTTTGGGTTCTGACCTAGTGTAGGTGATATCTGATCTATATCACTCGCCTGGTGAGGTCAACTGAACAGATGAAATTTCTTCCACAAACATCAGTCTTATAATATCTATTCCTTTTCTGGCAGCCAGGAACTTTCCATAACTCACTGGTAGGTCTCAAGCTCACCATCTGAGAATGTCAAATATAGGAGTGGAAAACTAAAGAGATGCTTAAGATTAATTAACTCTACAGCAACAAAATATTTGGCACAGGTTCTCCAGAAAAAAAATTGTACCTTGTGGTCCAGACCAGTAACATAGCCAAGCCAACTTCATAATCACAGGGTTCTCCAAGGAACACTTACTATGAGTTAATATCTAGAAATAAGTAATCAGTAAAGCAATGGCTTTGTTATTATATTTAAGTACTGATCTGCAACCCCGAACCTCTTAAAAGGGAAAACAGGATTCAAAACTAACAACCTAATAGAAGCATTTAGAACTAAAATCGGTATCACTTAAATGTACTTAACTTAGGAGCTGATTTAGACAAAGCAAATATACAAAAGAGAATGTATGTAGAATTATCTTGTGCTTGTTTTTAGACAACAGAAAGTATTAGCTAGAATCTAGAAGAAAAAGAATGGTAAGAAGAGCAGAGTGAACAATTCTGTTTCAGATAAGACAGAGCCACCTTTGTTAAGTCTATGACCTGATTGATTAACAGACCCACTATCAGTCTTTCCCAAATATGTCACAACTTCCTAGCAATAAGGATTCTCTATCACGGTTTTCCTTGGTGTCCTGCCTTAACAACGTACGTGTCTTCACTTCCACATATTTAACCACAATAAAAAGATATGGACTTTATAAAATTGTACAGCTTATCCATTTATAAATTTATTCTTTCATAATCTCACCCTACATATTAGCCCACAGCTGGCATCCTTGAAGGCTAAAAGAGACATAATGTTGTTCAGGCCTCATGCCCATCAAAAACAAAATATTTGTCAAGAGGCATGGGGAGCTGGTTTGGAACATGGCATGTGGAATGAAGTTTCATATTTAACTCTGATGGAATGGAATTATGAAGGCCAGGCTCGGGGAGATAAGCATTTTCTTAGCTCACCGAAAGAGCGTGGGAACTACAAGAGGATGAGACTGGCACCTCCCTGAGGAATTCATGGTGTTGTGGCTGCCTGGCTTGGGAGCTGGGGTTTCAGTCTGGGAAGATTCTTGGTAGAGGTTGTAGCTAATAAACATAGCTGAACTGATTTTGCACTGTCTCTTGGAGTTCTTTGGGCTAAACCTGACATCAATCTTCCCAGATATGGTGGGACTACATATCCAACATAGATGTGATACGAATTCTGAGAGCTGTAAAATCATCTGATCGAAACACAAGAGGCTTGGGGAAAATTCAATATATTTCACACCCAAAATGCTGAATCTCCTGAATGTTTGCTTAATTATCCTGTCATCATTTGTTTCCTGTTTCTTTATCTCTTCAATTCAGCTTTATTGGCAAATGCTAATTTTCAACCCAACATTAAAAAACCATGCAGAGAAAGCCACGCCACACCATGCCAAGCTAAGCTTCCTCTCTCTCTCTCTCTCTCAAATGGCATTTTATCTCTTTATAATAAAAATTATTATAATAGTAAAATCTAATACAAACTAAACTTAAAGAAAGAAAAGAGAATAGATAGGAGTAAAAAATGCAAGAAAAAAGAAAGAAAAAAGAAAAGAAACAGAGAAGAAAGAGAAAAGTAAGAATAAAGAGAAAATAAATATATC